AGTGAATATAGTTTTAACACTATTTCAATCAAATTATCAAAGGGATACTTTACAGAATTAGATAAAATAATACTTATTCAGAAAAAAGATCAAGAATATTAAGGGAAATAATGAAAAGATGTAAGGATGAAAGTGGAATAGCACTTTTAAACCTCAAACTGTATCTTAAAGCAGAAGTCATCAAAACCATACAGTGTTGATGTAAAAACAAAGTGGTAGATCAATGAAACAGACTAACCAAAGGGAACCAGAAGCAATGGAATTTAGGATTAGATAAACCAGAAAACATGAATTATTTAGAAAATAACTCTGAATTTGCTTGCTGGCAAACCCAGAAATAAGTTTGGCAGAAATTTGACTTAGGCCAATACCTTACAACATATTCTATGATGTATTCTAGATGGATAAACAATATTAATAATTGGGGTATAAAAATATTAGAAGAGAAGTAGATCATGAATCTCTCACAGATATGGATGTAGTCAAACAAAAAGGGACAGAGGCAATTATAAAATATAATACAGATAACTTTTGATTATATGAAACTGAAAAGCTTCTGCACAAACAAAATTAAAGCATCTAAGATAAGAAGGGAAGGGATGAAATGGGAAATTTTTTCTGATGAGGGGTTTGGTATCCAAGATACATAAACAATTATTATGTATGAACAAAAACTATCAGTTCTCTGAGGAAAAATTGCAAACTATTACCATACACAAGAAAGAGTACTCCAAATCATTAATAATAATAAAAAACTGTAAATTGGCAAAGATGAAAAAATGAGAATATCATTGTGAGAGGGGTTGTGGGAACATGGGTACACTAGTAATTATTGGTGAAGCTGTGAATCTGGATAATCATTTCGTAAAAAATTATTTGGAATTATGCAAATAAAATTGATTAAAATATTCTTCCCTTTTGAACCAGAGATTCTATTTTAGATTTTTACTATAAGAAGGATATTGATAAGAATCTCCCCACATGTGTTAAAATTTTTAAAGCAGTACTCATGTTAGAGTAAAAAATTGGGAATAGTATAGATTAGTTGGGAGATGGCTAAACAAATTGTGGCACACAAATATAATGGGATATTATTACATTCTAAGATATGATGAATGTGATGAATACAGAGAAGCTTAGAGACATTTACACAAATTGATGCAGAGTGAAGTAAGTAGAGCCAAGAAAATAATATAAACAATAAATACAACAATGTAAATGGAAAGGACAACTACAAAAAATGAAAAACCAATGTTGAACAAGCATGACTTCAAAGAATAGATATGAGAAGATCTGTCCACCTCTTTGTGGTAGGTCCATACACATTGCATATTGTACATATTTCAGAATTTTTTATGTATTGATAAATTATACTGAATTTTTCCCCTTCTTTTTCAAAAATTGCCTTTAGAAGCCAAGATGTTAGAGAAAAGCCAGGAAGTTGTCTGAGCTCTCCCCTGGTTTCCCTCAAAATAACTTTAAATCAAGCCTCAAAATGAATTCTGGAGTGATAGCATCCATAAAAGGAGGGGTGAAACAACTTTCCATCCCAAGATAATTCAGAAGGAAGGTCTGTCTCACTTGGGTAAAAGGGGAGTGGAGCCCAGCATAGGTGGTATTCTTGCAAGTCAGCAGGAGGCTTCTAGCCCGGCACAGATCAATAATCTGGCTCAGCAGGCTTCTAGTCCAGATTTAACAGGTGAGCCACCAGCCCTTGAGGTCTAGTGCAACAGGTGCTACTAGGCCAGATGATCTCTGTGCAACAGGCAAGACAGCAACCCTGGAGCTCCTGGACCAATAGGCAAACCACCAAAGCAAGTTAATGACCAAGCCCCTGTCCCCTGGCAGAAGAAGCTTGGGACAGTGGCCCCTGAACAGAGCTCAACTTTAAGAGTTACTAAATAGGCAGTAAAATGAGCAAAAACAAAAAAAGCTCTGACCGTAGAAGGCTAATATGGCAACATAGAAGGTTGAAAACACAAACTCAAAAGAGGACAACAATGTCAAAATGTCTATATCTTAAGCCTCAAAGAGAAATATGAATTGGTACGAAGCCCTAAAAGTCATCCTGGAAGAGCTCAAAAAGGATTTTAAAAATTAAATAAGGGGTCAGCTATATGGTATAGCAACTAGAGAATCAGCCCTGGAGTCGGGAGGACCTGAGTTCAAATCTGGACTCAGACACTTGACACTTATTAGCTGTGTGATCCTGGGCAAGTCACTTAACCTTGATTGTCTTGCAAAAAAATAAATAAATAAGAAAGGTAGAAGAAAAATTGGGAAAAGAAATGAGAATTATGCAAGAGAATCAAAGAAATGAGTCAACAACTTAGAAAAGGAAACAAAAAAATTGACTGAAGAAAACAACTTAAAAAGTAGAACTGGCCAAATGGAAAAGAAAGTAGAAAAGTTAACTTGAAGAAAAGAATTCATTAAAAATTAAAATTAGGCAAGTAGAAGCTAAAGGGTCTATGAGACATCAAGAATCAGTCAAACAAAATCAAAAGAATGAAAAGTAAAATGAAGAAAATGTAAAATACCTTATTGGAAAAACAACTGACCAGGAAATTAGATCAAGAAGAGATAATTTAAGAATTATTGGCCCGCCTTCCATGCTAGCGTGAGATACAAACGGCTGTTGTTGTGTGGCTGTGGTCTCGGCCTCATGGGGAAGGTCTATGTGGGGACGAGGCCTGACCTGGCCAGGATGGCCAGCTCTAGGTGACCATGAGGAAAAGGGGCCCCACTGAGGCTGAGGCCTGTGACTGGATGTGGAGGCTCTGAAGAATCAGAAAGTGCAGACTAAATTATCCAATCCCATCACCAGAATGCTGCCTCCAGCTCGAGGTGAGAGAGAAATTATTGTTGGTTTTACTCAAAGAAGAGCTCAGTGTGTGGGTACCAGGCAGATTCTCACTGCACCATTTTTCACTTCATCAGGAAAGGCAAATGATGGTGGGCAGGGAAGGCCTTCACCTGGTACAGCAAGTCAGAGAAAGAAGGAACAGAAAAGAGATGTGATATGGTTGGATCCTCCTCCATTGTTCCCTGGGGATGAGCGTGCCCAGTGACCTAAAACTGCAGCTGCTTCAGTGACTAAGGAACCTCAGGAGCTCATCTGCTCCACTCCATCTCCCAAAGAGGTATCTGGCTGTTACAGAGACGCAAGACCAGCTGTGCTCAGTAGCCAAGATCAGAAACTGCCTCTGCCCCAGTTGGACATTGTAGGCTCTACTGAGGTGGGTTTTGCCTTCACCCAGAACTCCAAAGGCTTTGGTTTGCCAGCCAGGGAAGAGACAGTGGGAAAATACATTATAAACAAGGGCAAGAGACCAAGTACCTAGTGGACAGGGCAGAATTGGAAAAGACAGTATTTTCCAAAGAAAACAAACCGTTCTCTGTCCTTCCCCAAGGCCACCAAGAAGGCAAAGCAGGGAAGTGAGAAAACAGGGAGCAGCCCTGGAGGGGAGGAGACACAGAGTTAGTAGAACAAAGACCCTGTTCCAGTCAGGCCTTTTTTTGGGATAGTGAGAGGTATGACCCAGACCTAGGGCCAGAGGATCATTGCTCACCCTCCTCGAACTCCTCTACAAGATATAGCCAACCTTCCAAGAAAGCCCCTGCATACATCCCTCAGTTCTCAGGTTCAGTGCTAGGGTAGGTCTGTCCTGGGCACCTCTCAGTTAAATTCCCAGCCTGATACGTTCTTTACCCTGGACTCTCAAGGTAACTGAGTTATCAAGCACTGCTTTTGAACTTCTGTTTTGGTGACAGATGACAGAAAAACACCGTACTAGCCTGGTGTTGTATAGTCATTTGGTGAGGGTAGGTGGTGTTCTCAATATGGGCCCTAGTTCTGGATTTGAGAGAATGGAGGCAGTGCCAAATGAAGGCAGTGTTTAGCTTTACTTTAATTTATGAGCTTTTTCATTGTGACTGTAAATAAAACAAGCACTTTCATTTGTTGAAGGAGTGTTTTGAAAGAGACAGGTTGGCAGGCACCCTTTCTAAGATAATTATTGGTCTCTTAGCTCTTCTTTGAAGAGAACTACCATATTGATTTGAATATAGGCTGAATCTTCTTCTAAATCTAGCTAATATTAAAACTGAATGTGGCCTATCATTGGTGTTATTTTTCAGTGTATGCCTATATGTCATTTCCTTTCAAAGAAGTCTGTGGAGTGATCAAAACCTGCAAGGTTTGACTTAGACCTTTCAAGTGCTTTGTGTCAAACTTCTAGCTTGGTTACAATTTGATTTCACCTGGATGTAATTCCATCAGTATGTCCCTCATGCATAGACCAGAAGCCTTGCTCTTTAAAACTTTGTATTAAATTTTTTAAAAATTTTATTAATTTATTTTGATTTATCAACAATCACTTCCATATGCTTTTGAGTTGAAAATTTTTCTCCCCCTTCTTCCCCCCCACCCTCCCCAAGGCAGTGCACAATCTGATATAGGCTTTACATTTACATACCCGTGAAACATTTTCACATTAGTGCAGTTGTAAGTAAAAATTAAAACCAATAGGAGGAACCATCAGAAAGATGAAACAAAACTCAACAGAAGGTAAAAATAAATGATAGGAATTCGACTTCCATAGTTCTTTCTCTGGATGTGGATAGCATTTTCCATCCTGAGGCCTCTGGAGATGTCTTAGATCCTTGTAATGCTGAGAAGGGTTCAGTTTAACAATATTAGTCATTGCATAATGTGGCTGTTATTGTGTACAGAGTCCTCTTGGTTCTGCTCACTTTACTCAGCATCAGACCATATAAGTCTTTCCAGGTTTTTCTGAAGTCAGCCTGTTCATCATTTCTTATAGCACAATAGTATTCCATTACATTCATAAACCACAACTTGTTCAGCCATTCCCCAATTGATGGGCATCCTCTCAATTTCCAATTCTTTGCCACCACAAAAAGAGCTGCTATGAATATTTTTGTACATGTGCGTCCTTTTCCCATTTGTTTGATCTCTTTTGGATATAGCCCTGAAGTGCTATTGCTGGATTAAAGGGTATGCACATTTTTGTAGACCTTTGGGCATAAGAACTTTGTGTTAATTTTATCCTGGGGTGAGAACTAGTTTAGGGCTTTGAGGATCAGTTGAAACTCAGGTGGAAAGTGTGGTCCATGATTATTTCTTATAATTTGTTTTTGATAAACCAATTTCTGGGATTAGAGACATACAAGATAAAGTAATTGTAGGCTAAACCAAAACAACTTAAGAACTTTGAACTGCTGGGGACTATGGCAGCCCCATAGGAAGTGCTGGGTTTCGGAAATGTGCACATACCCAACAATTTTGTGAGGCAAATTATTAGGGCATGTGTTGAGAGGAGGTTGAGATAGAGATGTAGTGATTTGTCCAATAGTCACACAGTTTGCAGCTATGCAAGATTATAATGAGAATCTCTTAGCCACAATACTTAATGATATCAGATTTGTGGAGTGGGAATGTGGTTCAGGTCCCAAGTACAAAGTCTCTTTAGAAAAGTAGTATGTTTCAGACTTGTATGACATAGAACTGTAATCTCTTCTCTGTTCCAATTCCATGCTGGTCTGTAAATGTGCAGTTTGCACAAAGACAACAAACCTTTAAGAACAAAGATCAGAAGGAGAAAGCAAATTATTTTGGAAAGTTTGTTTTTAAAAAATGTACAGTTATGGTTTTATGGTTTACTTTGCTATTCAATTCCATATTGTTTGTTGAATGTTAAATCTGTAATAAATTTTTTTAAAAATGAAAAAAAGGAATTATTGGACTATCTGAAAGCCATGATAAAAAAAAAAAAGAAGAGCCTGGACAGCATCTTTCAAGAAATTATCAAGGAAAACTGCTCTGATATCCTAGAACCAGAAGGTAAAATGCTAATTGAAAGAATCCACCAATCACCTCCTGAATGAGATCCCAAAATGAAAACCCCCAGGAACATTATAGCCAAATTCTTGAATTCTTAGGTCAAGGAGAAAATACTGCAAGGAGTGAGATATATCTCCTCAAGTATTGAGGAGTAATAGTTAGAATTACACAGTATTTAATGGTTTCTACATTAAAGGATCAGAGGGCTTGAAATATGATATTCCAGAAGGCAAAGGAGCTTGGATCACAACCAAGAATCAACTACCCAGCAAAATTGAGCATAATCTTTCAGAGAAAAAATTGGACATTCAATGAAATAGGGGATTTTTAAACATTCCTGATGAAAACCTGAACAGAAATTTTGATTTTCAAATTCAAGAATCATAAGGTAAACAAGAAAGAAAAAAAAAACATCATAAGTTTATCAATAAGATTAAACTGTTTACATTTCTACATGGGAAGATGATGCTTGTAACTCTTTTTTTGTCTTTTTTTCTTTTTTGGCTAAGCAATGGGGTTAAGTAACTTGCCTAGGGTCACACAGCTAGTAAGTGTTATGTGTCTGAGATCAGATTTGAACTCAGATCCTCCTGAATTCAGGTCTGGCACACTATCCACTGTGCCACCTAGCTGCCCCAATACTTGTAACTCTTAAAAACTGTATGTCTGTTATAGCAGTTAGACTTTGATGGGATAATGTAAAGAAATTAAGGAGTGAAAAAGAGGATTGCACTGGGAGAAGAGGGAAAGGAGAGGCAGAATGGGGTAGATTATATCACATGAAGAGGCACAAAAGATCTATTACAGTAGAGAGAAAGAAGGGGAAGATGAGCATTGTTTGAACCTTACTCTCATTGGACTTGCCTCAAAGAGGGAAAAATGTATACACTTGATTGGATATAGAAATCCATCTTATCCTATAGGGAAGTAAGAGGGGAAGGTGGCAAAAAAAAAGGTAGAGTAATAGAAAAGGGAATAGACTGAGGGAGGCAATGGGCAGGAGAAAAACATTGGTGAGGAGGGGCAGGGTGAAAGGAGAAAGAAAAAGTATAAAAAGGGGAAAAATAGGATAAAGGGAAATACAAAGTCAATAATCGTAACTATGAATAAGATTGGGATGAACTCTACCATAAAACAGAAGTAGATAGCAGAGTGAATTAAAACCAGAATCCTACAATATGTTGTTTATAAGAAGCATATTTTAAGTAAAGAGACACACACAGAGCAAAAGTAAAGGGCTAGAGCAGAAATCTATTACTTTTGTTGCAGTAAAAAAAATTAAGCAGGGATAGCAATCATGATCTCAGACAAAGCAAAAGGAAAAACAGATCTTATTAAAAGAGACAAAGAACGAAACTACATCTTAATAAAAGGTATCATAGACAGTGAAGTAATATCAGTACTAACCATGTATGCACCAAATGGCATAGCATTCAAATTTCTAAAGGAGAAGTTAAATGAGTTCCAAGAGGAGATAGCGAGTAAAATTATATTACTAGGGGACCTCAACTTTCCCCTCTCAGAACTATATAAATCTACATAAACAAAGTAAACAAGGAAGAAATTAAGGAGGTGAATAGAATTTTAGAAAAGTTAGATATGAAAAAAAAGGAAAAGGGGGGCAGCTAGGTGGCGCAGTGGATAGAGCACTGGCCCTGGAGTCAGGAGTTCAAATATGGCCTTAGACACCTGACACTTACGAGCTGTGTGACCCTGGGCAAGTCACTTGACCCCATTGCCTAGGCCCCCCCCCCAAAAAAAAAGATATGATAGATCTCTGGAGAAAATTGAGTAGGTATAGAAAAAAATACAACTTTTTTCAGGTGGTATCTGGCACATACACAAAAATTGAATATGTATTAAGGCATTGAAACCCCATAATCAAATGCAGAAAGGCAGAAATATTAAGTGCATTCTTTTCAGATCATGATGCAATAAAATTACATTAAAGGGCTATGGAAAGATAGATTAAAATTGTTTGGAAACTAAATAATTTGATCCTAAAGAATGAATGCATCAAACAACAAATCATAGAAACAATCTATAATTCCATCAAAGAGAATGACAATAATGAGACAACACATCAAAATTTATGGGATGCAGCCAAAGCAGTACTTAGAGGAAAGTTTATGTCTCTAAATGCTTACATCAACAAAACAGAGAAAAACAGATCAATTAATTGGACATGCAACTAAAAAAGCTAGAAAAAAAACAAAATTAAAATCTCCAATTAAACACAAGTTGGAAATCCTGAAAATCAAAGGAGAGATCAACAAAATTAAAATTAGAAAAACCACTGAATTAACAAATATAACTAAGAGTTGGTTTTATGAAAAAGCAATAAAATAGATAAACCAATAATTAAGTTGTTCTTTAAAAAGAAAGAATAAAACTAAATTATTAATATCAAAAATGAAAAGGGGGAGCTTACCATCATTGAAGAAGAAATTAAAGCAATAATTAGGAGCTATTGTATGCCAATAAATCTGACAATCTAAGCGAAATGGATATTTATGAAAATATAAATTGACCAGATAAACAGAAGAGGAAATAGAATACTTATGTAACCCAACCTTAGAAAAAGAAATTGAATAAGCCATCAATGAACTCCCTAAAAACATCCCCAGGGCCAGATGGATTTACAAATGAATTCTACCAAACATTTAAGGAATAATTAATTTGAATACTATATAACTGTTTGGGCAAATGGGCAAAGAAGGAGTCCTATCTAATTCCTTTTATGACACAAGTATCGTGCTGATACTTCAACCAGGAAGAAGCAAACCAGAGAAAGAAAATTATAGATCAATTTCCCTAATGAATATTGATGCAAAATTTTAAAATTAAATGCTAGCAAGGAGATCAAAACAATATATCACAAGGATCATACACTATGACCAGAGGGGATTTATACCAGGAATGCAGGGCTGGTTCAATATTAGGAAAACTATCAGAATAATTGACCATATAAATAACAAAATTAAAAGAAATCTTCTGATTATCTCAATACATGCAGAAAAAGCTTGTAACAAAATACAGTACCCATTCCTATTAAAAACACTAGAGAGCATAGGAATAAATGGAGCTTTCCTTAAAATGATAAGTAATATCTATCTAAAATCATCAGCATGCATTATCTGTGATGGGGATAAGCTAGATGCTTTCTCAATAAGATCAAGGGTGAAACAAGGATTCCCATTATCACCACTGTTATTCAATGTCATACTAGAAATGTTAGCTTTAACAATCAGAAGAAAAAGAAATTGAAGGAATTAGAATAGGCAATGAGGAAACAAAACTCTCACTCTTTTTAGATGATATGATGGTATACTTAGAAAATCCTAGAGAATCAACTAAAAAAACTACTTGAAATAATTCACAATTGTAGCAAAATTGCAGGATATAAAATAAATACACATAAATCATCAGCATTTCTATATATATTACCAACAAAGCCCAGAAGCAAGAGATAAAAAAGAGAAATTCCACTTAAAATAATTGTAGACAATATAAAATACCAGGGAGTCTGCCTGCTGAGACAAACCCAGAAACTCTATGAATACAATTACAAAACACTTTTCAAACAGATAAAGTCTCATCTGAACAATTGGAAAAATAATAATTGCTCATGGGTAGGCTGAGTCAATATAACAAAAAAGGTAATTCTACCTAAATTGATTTACTTTTTCAGTGCCATACCAAACTACCAAAAATTTATTTGTAGAGCTAGAAAAAATTACAACAAAATTCTTCTGGAACAATAAAAGGTCAAGAATATTAAGTGAATTAGTGAAAATAAATGCAAAGGAAGGTGGCCTACCCGTACCAAATCTCAAACTAAATTTTAAATGGCAATCATCAAAACTATTCAGTACTGGCTAAGAAATGGAGTGGTAGATCAATGGAATAGATTAGGTACAAAAGACACAGTAAATGACCATAGTAACCTAGGGCTTGATAAACCCCAAAACCCCAGCTTCTGGGACAAAAACCTCATTATTTGACAAAAACTGCTAGGAAAACTGGAAAACAGTATGGCAGAAAGTAGGTACAGACCAACATCTTCTACCATATTCCAAGATAAGGTCAAAATGGATACATTATTTAGATATGAAGAGTGAAATCATAAGCAAATTAAGAGAGCAAGGAATAGTTTACCTGTCAAATCTATGGAGAAGGGAAGAATTTATGATCAAACAAGATATAGAGAGCATTAGATATGAAATGGATAATTTTGATTATATTAAATTTAAATTTTTACACAAACAAAACCAATGCAAGCAACATTAGATGGAAAGCAGAGAGCTGGGAAACAATCTTTACAGTAAGTGTCTCTGATAAAGGCCTTATTTCTCAAATATATAGAAAACTGAGTCAAATTTATAAGAATACAAGTTATTCCCCAATTGATAAATGGTCAACGGATATGAACAGGCAGCTTTCAGGCAAAGAAATCAAAGCTATCTATAGTCATGTAAAAAATGATCTAAATCACTATGGAATAGAGAAATGCAAATTAAAACAACTCTGAAGTACCACCTCACACCTACCAGATAGGCTAATAGGCAAATGATGAATATTGTAGAAGATGTGGGAAAATTGGAACACTAATGCATTATTGGTGTAGTTCTGAACTGATCCAACCATTCTGGAGAACAATTTGGAATTATGCCCAAAGTGCAATCAAATTGTACATATCCTTTGATCCAGCAATACCCTATTAGGTCTATATC